ACATGATACAAATGAATCACATGATATGATCCGGATCGAATTCTATATCACGTGAGACTACCCGGCTTTAGTGGACCTGGACCCCCTTTAGTGGACCCCCAAATCTGGCGTAGTTTACAATTCATTTAAAATCTATAAGTTGTATAGTTATATGTCGCACAATTGAAAATTAATTACGTAATTTGATATTGCAGTGCGAAATATACATGTAATAAATTTAGCTCGATATAATTTATAAAAATTTATTATAAAGAATGCATTTTATCGAATGAAAAATTTATTATAACGAACTTTAGAAAAATTATTTTGCGCACAGATTGTCGTATGATCACTATAGACACAATTTTCTGATGGCATTAGTGAAAATTAGCCGCGCAATTTTCAGAAACACAGGAATAAGATCACCTCTAGCAAATGGTTTTTGGTTGACAAGGACCTTTGCAACTACAGTAATAAATAACCCACGAAAGGACGATCAAGGCAATGAATTGAAAATTGAAATAACTGATCGGGCCGTTAAAGTATGGTATTTTTGTGAGTTGCGACAAGTCTGCCGTATTTGAATTTATTTTGTTAATAAATATACAAATCTTTGTTTCAAAAATTAATTATTTTGTCTAATAAATTTAGCAACTATTATCTATAATGACCCGCGACAAAAATGATCATGAAGCATTACGAATAACTGTTGATTCCGGTGGGTGTCACGGATTTCAATATTTCTATGACTTAACGTCGGTGAACGCATTAGAAGATGATGATGTGTAGGAATTTTTTATATACTCTTAATTTTAATATTATCCATTAATATTCATTACATTAATTGGATTTTGACGTCGAATATACTATTTGTCGTAAATACAGACTATTTGAGAAAAATGGGGCTAAAGTAGTTATAGATTCGCTTTCACTTGGGTTGATTAAAGGTTCAAAGATAGACTATACTGAAGAGTTAATTGGATCACAGTTCAAAGTTGTAGATAATCCACAAGCATCGTCTGGGTGTGGGTGAGTTATTAGATTTGGCATTTGGAAGGCTATCTTTCTATATCTGAAAATAATGTTTATGAAATTTTTTGATAGATGTGGAATAAGTTTTGAAGTCAAAATATAATGGATATGGTTTCAAATCCATGAATATGTTTTTGTCAATTTTTCTGCAAGTCGATATAATTTTTTTTAAGTTAAGACAAATGCAATAAATGAATATTTATTCAATATAAAAAATAAACATTAAATAGTGGGAAGATCTTTGATCCATTGGGCTACTTTCTTGCCCATTACTTCACTGTGCTCTAAAAAAGATAATTATGTATCAACAACAATTTGTCAAAAACACAATAAACAAATAAAAGAATTCCTTACTTAGAACAAAAGCGTGTTCCATTCCAATTTCACACAAAAAGATTTTGCCATTCGGAAACCGTTGAATCATATCATGATAATGTTCTAATGGTGCCCATTTATCTGTCTTTCCGAAGTAAAAGGTGAATTTATTGAGATGCTCACGAAAGAATTTATCGTCAAGCTCATGGATTGTTGTCATTTCCGTCTCTGACATGTACATTGTATTTTGAACTACATGCCAATGTAGTAAACGATCGGCTGTCGTAGAGAGATGTGGCTCCGATTGAGCTGTAATGAGGCGTATTAATGATTTAAACATGTTTGGACCCAGGACTGTGCGAATTGAGTGGATGAGCATACTAATAATATTTCTTGGAAATTCGTAAAACGACCACTAAAGCAAAAACATGAATATTAAAGCTATATGGAATGAATGAAGTATGATTTTGAGTGAGGAACATTTACCGCCATTAGAAGGGCATTGGGAGTTTTCGCAATATGCTGTAAAGTAGGAAAAAGTAAATACACCTGTTCTATATGATTTGGACGCGCCTTCAGAACCTAAAATATGAGAAATTAAATATCACAAGTTATCCACATAAATTCTTTATTAGAATATCATATTTCGATATACCTGAGAGCATATATATGCGCCCATCGAATGACCACATAAAATGAAACGCGGATAAATCTTTTTCTCTCCATCAACAATTGCAAATTTTTCGCATAAAATGTCAAAGAATTTGATCTTGTGATTAATTTGATCTTGAAGGGACCATAACTTAATAAATGAATCATGATGTGGTCCATGTGAATGGCCCAGCTGCGAAACTATTAAATCGTAATAATTTCAATTTCAATCAAGATGCCATTACAACAGTAACTACTTTTAAATTAAATCGAACCTCCAACAATTTCAATTTTCTTTTCATACTCATCATAAATAGTTGATAAAAAAGGCGTGTAATAATCAATTACCCCGGGATTTCCGGGTATCATAAGTAACACCAAATTGGTCTCGCCTTTGACATTTAATTTATTATCAGCTGACCACCAAAGTGTCTCTGTCAAGTCACCGTCAACGTCACAAATTGTTCGTGTTGGAAATAATGACGGCGACGATTCATTAAATTTATCACCAGATTGAAAAATATTTGTACTCATTATACTGTCTGATGAATTAAAGGTTTTGGTTAACGTTAATTTTGTTAGCCGTATTTGTATGGTATGTCGTATATCATTTGAAGCTGAAATTCATGTGATCTTTAATTAAAATCATAAATCATTGTAACCCGGTGGGGTATTCTGTGAGACTGTACGATCACGAGGGTTGTTTACTAACTTCGAGTTGTCTGATCGATCTCTCCTGTCGGCGTCGTTAGTTCCTACCGTAGAAGGTATTTCTTGTCGCAAATGCTTTTTAATTGTAGTCATATTCTAATTAACTAATCTACTACTATTCTATTCCGCGACAGTCTTCTTTTATAATGTAATTTTCTCCCACTTCTATCCGTCCACAGATTAATGAATCATTCTTGCTTTGATTCATTAGCCGGTGTCTCTTTATCAGACCCCACCCCGTGCATTGCTATTTATTACCGTGAATATTATCAATATTATCACGTGGATCGCGATCTACATGATGACGTATCAAGATTAATATGTTATAATACTTAATATTTTATTAATTTCAATTTATAATTTATTACTGATTATAATAATATTATCATATATGAATCAGTGCAAAAAGATTTGTACCTCAATATAAAAATTTAATAATTATACAGTGGCAACCAAAAGTAATGATTCAGGAGCTAAATTTATTAATAAAACATAGTGAAAATTGAAATTTTCTCTTTATATAAAAATTTATAATTTTAATAAGAAATAATTTTTATTTT